CAAATTAATAGGTCACATATTATGCCTTGATCCCATATCACAAATTTTATAAATCACAACTTATTTTATGGTCATGAAATATTGTATTAATTGGTCACAAATTATTTCTATGTCACAAATTATCAAATTATTAGTCATAACTCAACTAATTTCTAGGTAACATATATATTAGTCAAAAAATTATCTATTTCGTTGATCACGTATTATTTATTGTCATACATTAACTAATTAATTGGTCACAATCAATCAAATAATTTGTGACCACCACCTCACCACTATCTCCAGTAGAACCACCGTCAAAACCATCACAACGACGACAACGATGATGACAAACAACACCACCACTAAATATCACTATGATGGCTACACCCCCACCGCCAACGCCATCACCTGCACCATCGTAACCACCACAACTACCAACTGCATCAACACAGCAATCTACACAACCAACATAAAAAAAATTCAAACTAAACAGATCTAATAAAAAAAACCCATAAAACTGCAACACCATGAAGGGCGATGCCAAGGATCCCGATCTAATTCGCCGCTGCAACAAAAAAATGCCACTGTAGATCTCATCGTCATTTGTGCGCTAAGGATCCCGATGATTGGACGTTGCAGATTCTTGTAGTCACGGATCGCTGCAGTCGTAGCATTGTCGCTGCGGAGATCCCGACGACATTTTCGGTTGGTAGGGATAGGGAGAGAAGAGACAAGGGATAGAAAGAAAAGAAAATGGGAAGATGATTAGGGTTTTGGGTGAGTAGTTGGGTTGGATGGGTAGATATGTGTATTAATTTAATTTTATAATATATTTACTAATATCAAAAAATTGAATTATTATCTGATTTTTGAATAAAATACTTGTAAATCTTATTTTTGAACTGTGAAGTTGCAAGGTTTAGATGGATCTAATTTCGACTTGAATTTTAAAGCTGAAAACTGTGATTGTTAATGACACTTATGAAAACTCGTGGTAAACGGGTCGGACATGTTTCAGAAAGGCTTGTGAAGGCAAATGAGTTGGTTTGGGTTTTGTGGTGGGCTAGACCAAGCCCGGTTCGCCACGTTTTCATGTCGTCTATTTTCATGGGTAGGTCGATTATCGAATTTTTTAAAAATATATGATAGATAAATAAATATGGATTCTCATTCGTGTTTATGAAATAAATTGTACGATTTACAATATGAAATTCATTCAAATTAACAATTTACAAGAAAATACATCACAATAGTTTAACTGCATTTAAGTAGGTTACCACTCAATAAAATTTCATCAACTTTTACCACCATTTGGTATGATGTCTGGCCACTGACGTCTTCTTCCAAGCCGGACATTCTCCGACCTAGTTTGACACCACTAACTCTACCACTTTCCGCAATATAAGTAGAAAATGTTATGTTCGGAGATATGCAAATAAATAGACATACAGCGGAATAATTCTTCTCCCCATATAAGCTGAATATATTCTAAAGAAGTCAATCACACCAAATTACAAGAACATGAGTAATTATTTTACGTGAAAACCTCTCCGGTGTGAGGAATAAAAATCATAGGACCTAGTTTAGTCAAAACCTCCGTTATCAACCAACTAACGAACACACAAATTTTTCTATAGTCACACTAGATGCTACAACGTATATTTTATTAAGATAATGAAGATTTTGACTATACAATACGAAATAGAAAAGTATACCCACAAACCTGTGGTTACTATTCATGCACATGAACCAAAGTTCTCAAGCTCAAAATCCGATCTCTACTGTATAGATTGTAGCCCCCTGTCTTGTGAATCTCTCTTCCAAATTTCAGCTTGATCGGACCGCGGACGACTCGGGATCAGAGCTTTGATGAAATCTGGACGCAAAAAAAGTCTTTTTTTCCTCTCTTTTTGGAAAAATGGCTAGGGCTATTTTTTATCTTATACTCTTGTATTTAGACTCATCTTCGAAACCTTAATGGGCTATGGGCTGCAATAAAAGATCCCAAACATGGGCTTTCCTAACCCAACAAATGTTATTCCTTCCAAGTTGACACAATCTTCTTGTTCTGGGAACTCTAGCTGCAGTTGGCCTCATTTCCTTTCATCCAATATTGTATATACTATATAGCCATTGAATAATCAAGATAAAACGGAACCAAACCCTCTAGAAACAAGATTTCAAAGGGTTAATAGTTTACAAGTTTTTCTCTCTCAATTGAAAGCTACTATTTGGCACCATATCTCTGTCAGGTTTTGAATCAGCACACTTGAAGATGCTCCTTCGAATAAATTATGTTGTTCAATTGGGACGGACAAAAAAATCCAAAGAGAGAAACAAAGAATCAAGCATACAAGACCATAATTATTTAATAGTTTAAAAAACTTGCTGAACTAAATCCTTAAGAACAGTGTTTTCAATTGATTTCTAGAAAGAAGTATGCTATTCAAAAAGTAAAGTTTTCGAAAATTTGAAGAAAAATAAGTGAGCCCTGCTGGATTACTCAATGGAAAAATTTGAGTTTATTACTATAATCTTCTTGTTTATATGTGCTGAAGCTCAAGATTCCTCCAATCAGCATGATGTGAATCCACTTCATCCAAGGATGGCAAGGGTTCTTATTGTTCTCTTAATTATGTTCTGCTTAACGTTTTTTATTGTGGCTTATGCGAAGTTCTGTCACAGACCAGTGTCTTATTATAAGTCGAATGATGAACAAGGTCCTCGTGTGCTTCTTGCATCAGGATCCCGATTTTCTGGTATTGATCCATTAGTAATTGAGTCGCTTCCATTTTTCCTCTCTCAAGGGATCGAAAGAAGGCCTAGAATGTGCAGTGTGCTTATTAAGATTTGAGGAGACCGAAGTTCTTTGATTGTTGCCAAAGTGCAAGCATGCATTCCACATGAACTGCATTGCTAAGTAGCCCGAAAATCACTCAAGTTGCCCCACTTGTAGGTACAAGTTTGATGTGGGAGACTTGAGCAGTTTGACGTATACAAACAGCTTTAGGTATCCCAGGAATTCGTGCAATCTGACAGAATAACCAAATCTCGAGTTTTTCCTTCAAAGAGAGCAAAATCAAAATAGGTCATCGAGGTTTAATATGGTAAACTTTTTCCAAACTGTTGCAAGAGGGAAGGAAGACGAGGTTTTGCTTCCAAAATATAGCAATAGTGACAGGGAAACCTTGCACAAATTTAAGCACAAGATCATCGTTTCTAATGTAATTCGTAAAAACAGGTGGAATGACGTCTACACTTTAGACCTAATGTTTCTGAATTCCGAGATGCTCAATGTTATGTAAAGCAAATGATTCAAGCCATTCGAGTCAAACAGTAGAAGATTCACCAATGAATTTCAGCCAAGAGACAAGTTTTGAAGATTAAGGAAGATATGGAAAGAAAAAGATTTTACCATTCTAAAGTTATTACGATTGCCACTTCAACCTCTCCTTGTACTGATAACATAGATTTAAACAAGACGACGACAAGATTATTGGATCCAGGTGAGAAGAGTTCAATGTCTGAGATTACAAATGTTTTTAAAGGTTTAGAGAATTCACTACAAGAAGCATGATGAATGACTTATCATCACCAGTAAACATTGTAAAGGATGAAAAAGTTTGGAGGCTTTGGTTTCCCATTGCAAAGAGAACAATTCAACGGTTTGCTGGTAGAGAAAACAATTCTGAATTTTTAAAACATGACTCAAATGTATGAATTAAACTGTATTTGGTACACAATATTAGATTGTATTTGATAGTAGACAAGATTTTTGCTTATTTTCTTCTTCATAATTCAGTATTGTCTACTTTACCATTACAAATATGTTGTCTATGTTTCTAGCTAATTATTCTTGCAATTATTTGTTCTTCCGTGGCTTGTATGAACTAAATAATATGATAGTCACCGAGTATAATTGCGGTTTTATCCAAAAATGATTAACCTATTGAAAGTAGTCAAATCTACTTATAATGTTTACATTTTTCTAAAATTCTCCCTTTCAATGAAACACCACATCATCTCGATCCCCCTTCAAGAGCTATTCTAGTTGTCTCCTTCCTCAAATCAGGGAGGATTATATGTTCCCACAAGACCCAACTCTTCCACTCTTTCGCCTTTCAGAGCCAACAACATATATTTTCGGCCATAATGATTGACTAGGATCCAAACCTTCACTTGACTGCAATTGAAGTTTCATCTTGGGCATGTACATTGCTAAGTTGGGAGCATAACCATTTATTGGAAATTTTGATTTCATCCAAAACTATTAACCTATTAAGGGTGTAACTCAATCCCTTATAAATTTAATATTTACTCCATGTATAATGAATGTTAAATTTGTTCACATTTCTTTATACCATAGACATCACTAGGTCATATATTATTATCGTGGAGATTATGAAGTGCTAGTTCTCTCTAAAAATTTTATCGTGGAATTTAAACATCTATAAATAGTTCGTATCTCTAAAACAATATTCGATAGAATGAGAAAAAAAAAATAATAAGCAAGGGACATATCAATCAATCAAAGAATATGCCTCCGTTTGGCAAACATCATTAGAAAATTAATAAGTTACCTCCATCATTCAGTCAACTTTAATTTCAACCACATATTCAACTCATGTTTGACACACATTCTTTCAAAATACATTCTTTCAAAACTTATTTTCAACCATACATTTTTCAATAAAATAATATATTTGATCACATCAATAACTTTTCTTTACTTTTTAACCACATATTTCTCATCATATCACTATTTAAAATACATTTTTCCTCAACAATATCCCTCAAACACACCATCAATACTACTACTCATTATTTGCCCATTTCATGGTCCCACCATTATTTCTCCTAAAAATATGCTAATTGTCTTTCCCAAATAAGAACTATAAATCAAATTAATGAGAAAAGGACAAAAATTAAGGGAGCTCGTGTGTGAGTACATGTAGTTGATTGTGCGAAGGGACTTTCCTCAAACAGATGGTGTGCAAAGTCAACAATATAATCTATTATAGAGACTAATTTATAATTTCATTCAAAATCAAAAATTATTTTTAGCAATACATTCATAATTATTAATTATTTATTATCTACACATTTTGTACGACGTATTATGATTCCACTAATTATTTCTGTTTATAAATAGTTTATAAATTTGTCAAACGGAGGCTATTAGGGGAGATTTATAAAACAGTGATAGAAAATGATATTTGATCTGATTACG